TGAAGATGATAATTTCTTTTTTTTGAGATGGAGTTTCACCCTCATTGCCCAGGCTGGAGTGCAGTGGTGCGATCGAGGCTCAATGCAACCTCCGCCTCCTGGATTCAAGCTATTCTTCTGCTTGTAGCTGGGATTACAGGCACCCACCACTACATCCATCTAATTTTTGTATTTTTAATAGAGACCGGGTTTTCACCATGTTGTCCAGGCTGGTCTTGAACTCCTGACCTCAGGTGATCCACCTGCCTTGGCCTCCCAAAGTGCTGGGATTACAAGTGTGAGCTACCGCGCCCAGCCAAGGATAGTAGTTTGATCCAGGTAACTCTTGGACCACATCGTAAGAAAAATGGCCAGGGTAGACCAGGCGCGGTGGCTCACGCCTGTAATCCCAGCACTTTGAGAGGCCAAGGCAGGTGGATCACCTGAGGTCAGGAGTTCAGGATCAGCCTGGTCAAGATGGTAAAACTCTGTCTCTACCAAAAAAATACAAAAATTAGCTGGGCATGGTGGTGGGCGCCTATGATCCTAGCTACTCAGGAGGCTGAGGCAGGAGAATTGCTTGAACCTGGGAGGTGGAGGTTGCAGTGAGCCGAGATTGCTCCACTGCCCTCCAGCCTGGGCGACAGAGCGAGACTCTTGTCTCAAAAAAAAAAAAAAAAAAAAAGAAAAGAAAGAAAAAAAAGAAAAAAAAAAGGAAAATAAATTTAAAAAAAAAGGAAAAAACAGAAAAGAAAAATGGCCGGGGTAATAAAATGAGCCCAGATTGAATTTTTTTTTTTCTCTCTCTTTTTTGAGATGGTGTCTTGTTATGTTGCCCAGGCTGATCTTGAATTCCCGGGCTCAAGCAATCCTCCTGCCTTTAGCCTCCTGAGTAGCTGGGATTTCAGGCATGTGCCACCATGCCCAGCTCCAGATTAAAATGTTCTAAAGTCATCCTCCTGGGTGATGGACACACTGGTGAAGAACATCTGTTGTGCTGGCTGCCCAGAGCCCATTCAACTCCACTCCTACTCCCATCATCTTTTTTGAGAAATACTTTTATTTCCACCTCATCCCTCCCCCATCTGCATTGTTACAGCCTTGGGACTCTTGGAGGTTTTGTTTGTACATCATATTCCCACCCACCTGACCCAAACTGCTAAATCAGAGTCCCATTCCCATGAATTTGGCATTGGGACTGAGATGCTAAGTCTCTCCGGATGGCTGGATCATGTACCCAGAGAGCTGCTAGCAGACACATTTCTTATATCACGAACTGGAGCAGCTGAGGACAGAGTGCGAACCCCACACAGAAGGAGGTGTGATGAAACAGAGAGGGTCTTTGTGGTGTTTGAGTCCCTGGTACTAGGTCATTCCTGAGACCTGGGTCTGTCCTTGACCTTGTGTGTGACAGCATGCCTCTAGGTCAGGCCAGCTTCAGTGATTCTTTAGTGGTGGCCAAGAATTCTAACTCACACTCACCCCATCCATCCTAAGCCAAGGGGACAGAGGATAGTGTTTTCTACACCCCAGCTCTAGGTTCTGAGAACAAAAAGAAGCAACTCTGTGGAGAGCAGGCGTCCGGTTTTGGAGGAAGAAGTGAAACGTGGCAGTTTCCTTATCAACGAACTATCAACAAAAGACCAAGAGGCCTGGGTCAAGGGAGAGTTTCTACCCTCTGGCTGTTTCTGTGGGGCTCAAGAAAACCACCTGCTGTACAGGTGATCCCACTCCTAACGGAGGAGTGAGTGGTTTTGTGGTTTTTTTTGTTTGTTTTTTTTTGAGACAGAGTCTCACTCTGTCACCGAGGCTGGAGTGCAGTGGCACCATGTCGGCTCACCGCAACCTCCGTCTCCTGTGTTCAAGCAATTCTCCTGCCTCAGCCTCCCGAGTAGCTGGGATTACAGGTGCCCACCACCACACCCGGGTAGTTTTTAAAATATTTTTAGTAGACGTGGGATTTCACCATTTTGGCCAGTCTGGTCTTGAACTCCTGACCTCAGATGATCCACCTGCCTCGGCCTCCCAAAGTGCTGGGATTACAGACGTGAGCCACTGCATCCGGCCTGAATGAGTGGTTTTACAATAGGACCTCTAGGCAAGGGTCTGCAGATCTGGTCTAATGCCCAACCTTGCCCTTTGAGATAAATCACTCTGTCCTCTGTCCCTGGCTGTCACCACTTGGGAACCATGTATAGTGCCTGTCAGTTTTCCTGAGGCACATATGGGCTAGAGAAGTTAGTGTGGTAAAGAGGGCAAAACATGGGTTCTAGAGTCTGCAAGTCCAGCTTCATCACATACTGGGTCTTTAGCCAGTTAGTTAATTTCGCTTACTTCCATCTCTCAATCAGTCACCATAACCCTCTCACTAGGAGAATGAAATGAGTGTGAGTGTGTGTCTGTGTGTGTGTGTAAAGCATCTTACACAATACCTAGCAAATGCCCCTGAAGTAGCAGAGCCACTCCAGCCCTGGAACCCTGTTAGAGATCGGGGGAGAGCCTGGCAGAGACAGGACGTCCCTCCAAGAAAACCGTCAGAATAGTTGGTTTACTGCCTGATTTTTGCAGCAAACTTTAGTGCTCCCCTAGGAGTCAGGGTTCAGAGCTTTTTTTGTTCTTTTTTTTTTTTAGCAGTAACTAATTTTCATTTCCTGTAAGACCTCCACACTACAGAGAGCTAGTGGCTAGAACCCAGCAGGAGGGAAAAGAGGTCCTGAGAAGAGAGGATAAGGGAAGCTAGTCTTTCTTTTTTTTTTTTTTTTTTTAAGACAGAGTTTCACTCTTGTTGGCCAGGCTGGAGTGCAATGGCACAATCTCAGCTCACTGCAACTTCCACCTCTCGTGTTCAAGCGGTTCTCCTGCCTCAGCCTCCCGAGTAGCTGGGACTACAGGCGCCCGCCACCTCGCCCGGCTGATTTTTGTATTTTCAGTAGAGACAGAGTTTCACCACGTTGTCCAGGCTGGTCTCGAACTCCTGACCTCAGGGATCCACCCGCCAAAAGTGCTGGGATTACAGGCGTGAGCCACCGCACCTGGCCTAGTCTTTCAAGTTATTGTAATTCAGCACCCACCAGGGGCCAGGCACATCTATGTGGTTTACATGCATTCTTTCCTCCTTTAACCCCTTTGGTGGATCAGTGAGGGCACAGGGAGTATGACATTCACAGCTAATCTGGACACCACTGAGGCAGTTCTGAAATCTGCTAGTCACTCAGAATTAACTGGTTGGGGACGACCAGCCTAGAACACAAACAGCTGCTGCCACAGCCCTGGCACAGACTTCCGACTAGTGCCTGGGACCTGCTCCTCAGCCCTATTGGGCAAACAGATCTCCGTTTATTAAGTAACCAGTTCTTTTCCAAAGTGCTGATAACTACAGCTGGAATCCATATGCTCTTTTCTTCTTTTTCTTTTCTTTTTTTTTTTTTTTTTTTTTTTTTTTTTTGAGATGGAGTCTTGCTCTGTCACTCAGGCTGGAGTGTAGTGGCACAGTCTCGCCTCACTTCAACCTCTGCCTCTAGGGTTCAAGCGATTCTCCTGCCTCAGCCTCCAGAGTAGCTGGGATTACAGGTGCATGCCACCACACCAGGCTAATTTTTGTATTTTTAGTAGAGATGGGGTTTCACCATGTTGGCCAGGGTGGTCTCAAACTCCTGACCTCAGGTGATCTGCCTACCTCAGCCTCCCAAAGTGCTGGGATTACAGGTGTGAGCCACTGCGTCTGGCTGATACACTCTTGAGTCCCTACTGGAAAAACAAGGAAGAGAGAGAAAGGAGAAAATGAAAAAGGAAGGGAGTAAAAGAAGGAAGAAACAAAGGGAAGAGAAGGCAGGCAGTCAACTCCGTGACGATACTCATTCCTTTATTGTCAACTGTGGTGATTGGAACAGGGCTGGGGCCTGCAAGCTGCCGGCAGCACCCAGCTGCAGGTACATTTCAGCTCAACAGAGAGGCCTCCATCCTAAGCCAAGGGGACAGAGGGGAATGTTTTATATATATATTTATATATTACATATGTCCCGTATAGTCATATGTATAGAGTGACAAGAACGGGCCACTGCATTGTTAACTGTTGTCCTAAATAAAGACCATAGCAACACACATGAGAATTTGGTCCTAATCAAGGCCCTTACTTTGTCAATCAAATATTTGATACACCAAAAGGAAAAGGAGAGAAAGAGAGACAGAGAGACTGAGATCCAGCCACCCCTGGTGGCCCTGTTCCCAGCAGATCTTACGCTGAGTGTAGAGTGTCCCCTGTGGAGGTAAACACGCACACAAACACGCACACACATACACACGTACACAAAACCGCAGGCAGGAGCTCCTCCTCTGACCATACCTTGGGCCCAGCCCTCGGACTGGGGGTGCTGATTTGGGTATATTGTGCTATAAGACTGTGAGCAAGGAGTGACAAGACAATGCAAAGGCGATGTGTCCAAGTGATGAATGGGGTGATACGTGCTGCTTCGTCCACAAACGAGAAAGAGGTCAGTGGGAGAGGCTGCTCAACTCAGCCCTGGAGGTCCCCCTGTACTCAGGCCACCTGGTGGATTTCTACACACAACTCCTGTCCCAGCCACAGTCGAACCTCTGAACTGAATCCTGAGTCTCAAATAATCTCTTGGGCTCTGATGAAAATTGTGATTTCCTGGAAGGACAGGAGCAAATGGCAACTGGGTGGCTCAACCCTCTAGTCCGGTAATGAAGCAGAAATGACACTGTCGCTGAGTTAAATCGGACCCAAGCTTGATCCTCAGAGCAGAACTTGAACGATGTAAGAAGGGTTCACTTCCTGAAGGAAAGAGAATAACCCCTGCCACCACCTCCCACAGCCCCCATTTCAGGCAGACTCGTCAGTCTCACGGCTTCACCCCAACGACAGCACTCTTTATATTCTAGGAGCTGGAGACTCGCACTATTAGGGCACTTTGAAATCCTAACTCACTTGCTTTTTTTATTACCTCTTTACCCCTCCACCAAAATAAACACTTAAAAAGCCAGTCAATGAACATTAACCGTTTTTTTTTTTTGTAGAAATTTACTTATCACTTGAGATACCCGGAAACATTTTGGGCCATCACAAAGGAAGGTAAGGAGTATCCCCCAGGAACCAATTTGCATAACTAGTGAATAAAGGATCTATTTTCAACAAAATAATACTTTAAAAATGCAATTCAGAAACAGGGGTAATAGGCAAAGCTGGAAAAGATTGTGCCTGGGCTTCTGTTTCCTGTGACAGATGAAGGGAAAAAGCAGTAGATGTTGATATCTTCGTTTAGACAGGGGTAGAATGACGTTGACTCCTCCCTCTGTGAATGGGGTCTAGGCAGCTACAGGGAGAAATGATCAAAGCAGGCAGGAGCAGCCTCTCGAAAATGGGGAGTTGCCTTGAGGGCCTGTCGATCAAAATGACTCCTCAGAGGGGACAGAAACAAAGGGATTTGGTGGAGGGACTTCCGTTGATGACTGTTCAAGTTGTCTCAATTGCTGTTCCATTTCCTGCAGGTTCCAAGGTGATGGTCACTGGCTGGTCCACAGTTCCCATCCAAGGTGGGCAGAAAGCAGAGTCTGGGCAGCTGTGAGTTCTTGTCGAAGCTGAAGAGCATGAGCTATGTTGGCGAGGTTATTAATGTCCTTGAAAAGGAGCCCAAGAGGCTGTATGAGGTTGTCTGAGGCTCAGAAAGTGGAGAGTAGGGCTGTGTCCACAGGGAGCAGAGGCCCAACACTGTCAGGATGTCTCTTGTCCTCAGGGAACACCAAGCAGTTTCCTAGTCCCAGAAAGTGCTCAGGGGCTGCTCGCCATCAGTGTGAGAGAAGATGGAGGTTATGGAGTGCGGTGGGTAGAAAAGGGACTGTCTTCTCAGGCACTGGCTACCTTCCCTTCTGGAGGCAGCTGACAGGGGAACAAGCCTGAGGTCTGACTGGGGGAGCTCTCAAGTCAGAAAAAAGGGAGGCTATGCAGTGACCATGGTACGCCCAGACGGCTCAGGCGAGGGCATCTCCCCAACATGAACTGAGCTCCACGAATAAATAACATGAATTAAATAAAGGAGGCAAAGAAGAGCAGGCAGAGGCACTGTCTGCCAGATTCTCACCCCTGCACACACGCACACGCACATGCACGCACACGCACACGCACCAAGCGGCAGATGAGATGAGCCAGGGTGGCTGCCCCATCCCAGGAGTCTATTGGATGGGCAGCCTGACGTGATGGTTGTCACTCATGGTCCGCCACTGCTGCGGGGTGCAGAGAGGCAGAGGCCAGGGAGGCATGTGTGGTGGAAGGTGGAGGCCTCTGAGGACTCTGGCACCTGCAGGGGAGATGAGGCAGGAGAAAGGGGAGGTTAGGGAAATGCAGGAAACAGGAAAGTAAGTCCTCTTCTTTGCCCCATCCTGCTGCTGCAGGAACCCCTCCAACATCCCCAGTCACCCCTTGCCCTTCCTGCCCTTTGGGCACCAGCAAAACCCTCTTTAGCATCACCCAGCCCCTGCAGTTCCCCTGCCTCCTGGGTCCAGTGCTGCCTTGGACCATGGAGGTACTGACCAGGATCTGGACTTTCGGACTTTAGACGTGGAAGGTCTCTCCAGAAAGCTGTCCAGCCGCATGAGCCTCTCCATGTGTAGCGCACGAGGGTCTTGTTCTTGGTCGTGAGAGAATTCCATCTCAAAGACAGCTGGAGGGGACACGTCCAACTCCAGAAACATTATATTTTCAGCCTGTGGTGGGAATATCATGCCAGAATTGAGCAGTGCCCGGTCACTGTGCCTTCTAGGGACACAGCCAGTCTTGGGTGTAGCAGGGCTGATGAGGTGGTTAGGGGAAGCAGAGGCTGTGAGCATCCCCTCCCGTAGGCTCTTTTCTTTTTTTTTTTTTCTTCTGAGATGGAGTGTCGCCCAGGCTGGAGTGCAGTGGTGCAATGTCGGCTCAATGCAACCTCCGCCTCCCAGGTTCAAGCAATTCTCCTGCCTCAGCCTCCCAAGTAGCTGGGACTATAAGGTGCCCATCACCATGCCCAGCTAATTTTTGTATTTTTAGTGCAGACAGGGATTCACCATGTTGGCCAGGCTGGTCTCGAACTCCTGACCTCAGGTGATCCACCCGCCTCAGCCTCCCACAGTGCTGAGATTACAGGTGTGAGCCACCTTGCCCGGCCTTCCTCCCATAAGCTCTTTCTCCCCTCTCCACTTCTTACCCTGTACCTGGGGTGGGACCCCATTGCCATGGCAACCCGAGCATACTGGCTGATAGGCCTCTTGTAGCCCACTGCAGATGTTGGCCGCTTCTTCATCTGGCTGTTATTGCTGTAGGGAAGAGGCTATATTAGAAAGGATTTCTGTGGAATACAAACAGCAAATGACATCATGAGGATGTAAATATCATTCAGGTAGCCAGAAGGTCCTACAGACTGCAAGTTCTGGAATTTTCTTCTCCTTGTTCTAACACAGCTTGACAACTGAAGCTAGTGCAGTTGTCCCCTTCATCCGTGGTTTTGCTTTCCACAGTTTCAGTTACTGTGGTCTGAAAATAGGCAAGTACAGTATAATCAGATGTTTCGAGAGAGAGACACCACACCTGCATCACTTTTATTACAGTATATTGTGTTTTTGTTGTTGAGATGGAGTCTTGCTCTGTCACCCAGGCTGGAGTGCAGTGGCATAATCTCAGCTCACTGCAGCCTCCACCTCCCAGGTTCAAGCAATTCTCCTGCATCAGCCTCCCAAGTAGCTGGGATTACAGGTGTGTGCCACCACACCTGGCTAATTTTATTTTATTTTTTCTTTTTTTGAGATGGAGTTTCGCTCTTATTGCCCAGGCTGGAGTGCAATGGCATGATCTCGGCTCACCGCAACCACCGCCTCCTGGGTTCAAGTGATTCTCTGTCTCAGCCTCTCACCTGCTCAGATTAAAAGGCAGGTGCCACCACGCCTGGCTAATTTTTTGTACTTTTAGGAGAGACAGGGTTTCTCCATGTTGGTCAGGCTGATCTTGAACTCCCGACCTCAGGTGATCCACCCACCTCGGCCTCCCAAAGTGCTGGTATTACAGGTGTGAGCCACTGTGCCTGGCCTAACACCTGGCTAATTTTTGTATTTTTAGTAGAGACGGGGTTTTATTTTACCACGTTGGCCACGCTGGTCTCGAACTCCTGACCTCAAGCGATCTGCCTGCCTTGGCCTCCCAAAAATCTGGGATTTATAAGGCATGAGCCACTGCACCCGGCCTTATTAGAGGATATTGTTATAATTGTTTTGTCTTATACATCTCATGTACCCCATAAATATATATACCTACTACGTACCCACAACAATTTTAAAAAATTAATAAAATTTAAAATAAACCTCATAGCATATATAGGGTTTGGTACTATCTGCAGTTTCAGGCATCCACTAGAGGTCTTAAAACGTATCCCCTGCCAGGTGCAGTGGCTCACGCCTGTAGTCTCAGCACTTTGAAAGGCCGAGACGGGTGGATCACCTGAGGTCAGGAGTTCGAGACCAGCCTGACCAACATCAAGACACCCTGTCTCTACTAGAAAGGTACCTATTTACCAAAAGAGGTACATATTAATATTTCTTCACTCCTGTTGCTTTAAATTGTTTCTGCAGTAGAAAGGACTGATTGAAGGCTGAAATGAAATTCAGTCTCACTTTAACTTGTAGCTTTATATACGTTTTTTTTTTCAGACAAAGTCTTGCTCTGTCACCCAGGCTGGAGTGCAGTGGTGCAATCTCGGTTCACTGCAACCTCTGCCTCCTGAGTTCAAGGGATTCTTGTGCCTCAACCTCCTGAGCAGGTGAGATTACAGGCACACACCACCACGCCTGGCTAATTTTTTTTTTTTTTTTTGAGACAGAGTCTCGCTGTGTCACCCAGGCTGGAGTGCCATGGTGCGATCTTGCCTCACTGCAACCTCTGCCTCCTAGGTTCAAGCAATTCTCCTGTCTCAGCCTCCCGAGTAGCTGGAATTACAGGCAGCTGCCACCGCGCCCAACTAATTTTTTTTCTATTTTTAGTAGAAACGGGGTTTCACCTTGTTGACCAGGATGGTCTCGATCTCCTAACCTTGTAATCCATCCACCTCGGCCTCTCAAAGTGTTGGGATTACAGGCATGAGCCACCGCACCTGGCCTAATTTTTGTATTTTTAGTAGAGGACAGGGTTTCACCATGTTGGTTGGTCTCGAACTCCTGACCTCAAGTGATCTCCCTGCCTTGGCCTCCCAAAGTACTGGGATTACAGATGTGAATCACTGCACTTGGCCATTTTGTTTTTTGAGTCACAGTCTCACTGTCACCTAGCCTTCGTTTTTTTTTTTTTTTTTTTTTTGGAAATGAAGTCTCGCTCTGTCGCCAGGCTGGAGTGCTGTGGCACGATCTTGGCTCACTGCAGCCTCCGACCCCCTGGTTCAAGTGATTCTCATGCCTCAGCCTCTCGAGTAGCTGGTATTACAGGCACATGCCACCACATCCAGCTAATTTTTGTATTTTTAGTAGAGATGGGGTTTCACCATGTTGGCCAGGATGGTCTTGATTTCCTGACCTCGTGATCCACCCACCTCAGCCTCCCAAAGTGCTGGGATTACAAACATAGGCCACCATGCCTGGCCGGTAATTTTTAATTTTTAATAGAGATGGGGGGGTTTCGCCATCTTGGCCAGGCTGGTCTCAAACTCCTGACCTCAGGTAATCCTCCTGCCTTGGCCTCCCAAAGTGCTGGGCTTATAGGCATGAGCCACTCTACCTGGCCTATTTTTCTTCATAGGAGTTAGCATAATAAAAAGGTTAAAAACTCAGGCTTGAAATGAAAAGGAACAAAGTTAGAAGGCTCACATTTCTCAGTTTCAAAATTATTACAAAGCACCAGGTGCAGTGGCTCATGCCTGTAATCCCAGCACTTTGGGAGGTCAAGGTGGGTGGATCACCTGAGGTCAGAGTTTGAGACCAGCCTGGCCTACATGGTGAAACCTCGTATCTACTAAAAATACAAAAATTAGTTGGGCATGGTAGCACGCGCCTGTAGTCCCAGCTACTCGGGAGGCTGAGGCAGGAGAATCACTTGAACCTGGGAGGCAGAGGTTGCAGTGAGCTGAGATCCGGCCACTGCACTCCAGCCTGGGCGACAGAGTGAGACTCTGTCTCAAAAAAAACACACACACACAAAAGCAAAACAAAACAAAAAAACTTATTACAAAGCTATGGTAACCAAGATATTAGAGAACTTGTGTAAGACAAACATATAGATTAATGAAACAGAACTGAAACTCCAGGGACAGGCGCGATGGCTTACGCCTGTAATCCCAGCACTTTGGGAGCCCGAGGCGGGTGGATTGCCTGAGCTCAGGAGTTTGAGACCAGCCTGGGCAACACGGTGAAACCCTGTCTCTACTAAAATACAAAAAATCAGCCAGGTGTGGTAGCGTGTACCTGTAATTCCAGCTACCTGGGAGGCTTAGACAGGAGAATTGCTTGAACCCAGGAGGCAGAGGTTGCAGTAGGCAGAGATCGCGCCACTGCACTCTAGCCTGGGTGATAGAGCAAGACTCCGCGAGACTCTGTCTCAAAAAAAAAAAAAAAAAGGGCAAAGGATCTCAATAGATACTTCTCAGAAGATACACAAATGGTTGATAAGCACATGAAAAGATGTTCAACATTAATAGTCATATAGGGAAATCTAAATCAAAACCACAACGGGGACCGGGTGCGGTGGCTGACACCTGTAATCCCAGCACTTTGGGAGGCTGAGGCATGTGAATCCCTTGAGCCCAGAAATTTGAGTCCAGCCTGGACAACATAACAAGACCCCATCTCTCCAAAAAAAAAAAAAAAATTAGCAGGGTATGGTAGCACACACCTGTAATCCCAGCAGTTCAAGAGGCTGAGGTGGGAGGATCACCTGAGCCTGGGGGGTCAAGGCTGCAGTAAGCTGTGATCACGTCACTGCACTTCAGCCTGGGTGACAGGGTAAGACCCTGTCTCAAAAACCCCACAATGGATACCACTTCAGATCCACTAGAATGACTATAAAGACAGACAGTAACACATGTTGGTGAGGATGTAGAGAAACTGGAACCCTCACACACTATTAGTGAGAATGTAAAAAAAAAGTTAAACATAGACTTACCATATAACCCAGCACTTCCACTACTAGGCATATACTCAAGAGAACTGAAAACATATTCATATAAAAACTTGTACACAAATGATCATAGCAGCATTACTTACGGTGAAACCCTGTCTCTACAGAAAAATAGCCAAAAAATGGAAATTACCAAAACGTCCGCCAAATGATATGTTGATAAACCAAATGTGGTATATTCATAGAGTGAAATATTACTCATCAATAAAAAGGAATGAAGTACTGATGAGTGTTCCAACATGGAGGAACCTTGAAAACATTTTGCTAAGTGAAAGAACTCAGTCACAACGGACTACATATTGTGTGATTCCATTTATATAAAATATCTGGAATAGCTAAAGCCATAGAAACAGAAAGTAGATTGGCGGTTGTCTAGGTCTGGGGAAAGGGGTTTGGGGGAGAATGAGGAGTAACTGCTAATTGGCTCAAGGTTTCTTTTTGGAGTGATGAAAATGTTCTGGAATTAGGCTGGGCGTGGTGGCTCACGCCTATAAACCCAGCGCTTTGGGAGGCTGAGGAGGGCAGATCACCTGAGGTCAGGAGTTCGAGACCAGCGTGGCCAACATGGTGAAACCCTTTCTCTACTAAAAATACAAAAATTAGCCAGGGGTGGTGGCACACCTGTAATTCCAGCTATTCAGGAGGCTGAGGCAGGAGAACTGCTTGAACCCAGGAGGCAGAGGTTGCAGTGAGCCGAGATTGCACCACTGCACTCCAGCCTGGGAGACAGAGTGAGACTCCATCTCGGAAAAAAAAAAGAAAATGTTCTGGAATTAGATAGTGGTGACGGTTATACAACTCTGAATATACTAAAATCCACTACATTATTAAGCAGTAGAGCTAAAAAAAAATCCACCGAATTGTACACTTTAAAATGGTGAACTTATGATCAGTCAACTACATCTCAATAGAGCTGTTATTTAAACAATGAACAAACAGGCCAGCCTCAGAGACTCATGCTTGTAACCCCCACACTTTGGGAGGCTGAGGTGGGAGGATCATCTGAGGCCAGGAGTCTGAGGCTGTAGCGTGCTTGATTGTGCCAATGAATAGCCACTGCACTCCAACTTGGGCAACAGAGCAAAGATCCCAGCTCTAATTAAAAAAAAAAAGTTTTGGCTCACGCCTGTAATCCCAGCACTTTGGGAGGCTGAGACGGGTGGAT